TAAGAGTGAGAGCATATGTAAAATATGTGAAGTAATGTACATAAATAAATAGTTTTTACAAATGATTAATGAATAAGAATATTGTCAGCGGTAGTAAGTAAATGAAAAGACGTAAATAAAACAAAGAAAAGAAACAAAAACTATGTGTAATTGAAAAATGGCAATTAAGAGTGATGTGGCACGGCATTAAACTATTAGTGGAAGTCCTGAAACACTGGAAAGACTAAAAAAGGCTTTAACGGTTGGCAGACATCCCGTAAGTGGCGTCAACAAGAAGAGCAGTTCCACCGATGTTGCACATACACCTGATGCAGCTCGAAGGACCATCAACGGGTGAGCTAGAGTCAATATTTTGGGGTACCCATTTCTTTCATTTTCTTTTTGTTTAATTCAAAAAAAGAAAAGAAAAAATGAATAGCTAAGCGCTGTCCCACCGCCGAGGCGGGGTATGGTGTGATGCGAGTGTGAGTGGGGGTAGGGGGACTGGAGACAGTGACAGACAGACTAAACCTGGACCAACATATGGTGTGGACAACCGATCTCATAAACGGACCTACACCGTTTTTTTCAGGATTAAAATATTTTTTTTTTCTGCATTTTTTTTTGTTTTTGTTGTTTTGTTTTTGTTTCTTATTATTGTCATGCGGCCCAGCATGGCTGATCAATTGAATATACCGCCCTACCATTACTGCTGACCTGGGGCCTCGTGACAAGAAGAAAATAAAAAAAAAATAAGAAAGCTCGCACATTTGATTCTAAGAGTGAAAATGAAGCTGACAACAGCTCTGTGAATATAGATGCCCGAGAAATATTTCGAGATGTGAACGATATTAGTCTACCTGAGGATGAAGGAGACGAAAATAAAAAAAGTCTATTATTATTTATTTCGAGCATGGTACATCAGAATCTTTACTCTCCGAGCGCACTTTATTAACCTCGTTTTCTTTTTTCTTAATTCGTATATTAAAATCTTTATTATGCCTTTACCACTTTTTAAGTTGGGTGGATGAAGCTTCAGTTCCTTATTTTAGGAATTAAATTTATCCTTTTGTTGTTTGATTTTCTGGTGGAGCTCTTTTTCTCAAACATTAGCTTTCTTATTAGGCATTTATTCTTCTTCTGCTTTAAGTTTTGCGATTTTATGATGTAAGCTTTTTATGTTCAACAGAGATCTGAACTTTTTTTAAAGTTTAACAGAAAACTATTTAAAACTTTTCAAACTATGAACACGTAATTAATTTCGTATTCTTTTTGTTCATAGTCATTCAAAGCTTTGACATTTATTGAAAGCAACTCTGTTCTCTTTTTATTCTCAACACATGATAAATTTTGCAAGGGAAAAAAACCAGCTAACGGTTTTTAGCGAGAAATCAAAGCCATCTTACAAGTGCACAAAGAAGCTAGATAAAGTGAATAATTGCTAAATAAAACGAAAAATATTATAGAGCAAATTGGAAAAAATAGAAAAAAGTAAAATATAAAATACACTTTTATATTGTATCGAAAATTGGTATTATGTTAAATAAATTAAAATATATAAAGAAATTGTAAGAAAGTGTATAAAAGACGAACTAGGATATATATAAGTAAATTAACAGTAAGCACATTTATTTCGTTCAGTTATAATTGTATATTTTGTATGTATTGATAAGTAGACCCATCTGAGAATCTTGTAGTTTCCCTGAAAATCTCGTTGGTATCTCCTTAGTTCCTAGATATTTTGTTTATTAGAAGAAATTCTTTTTAGTCAACTTACATATCAAAATAGGCATTTGAATGAATCTGTTGCTTATATACTGAGTCCGACTTGCTACCTTTTTTGTAGAGTTAGATGAGTCAGTGGTCGTGGAAGGTTTGCTGTACCAATATGAAGATTTTGGTTATGTGCCCGTTCTCCTTCACGCTTTTTTCTGATCGGACCGCAGGTTCATTCCATACCAGTATCCGTCAATACTATCTCTATTTGCCCCTCTACCTCACCGTCAGTGTCGTTTTTCATCATGTATGCGGTCGCTTCTAAAAGTTATTCTACTGGTATACCCTACTCTTATTTCCATCATTCCCCTCAAAACCTAAGAAATCCTCTCTCTCTCCCTCTGTCAGTATATTCTTGTCACGGACAATTTATTTATTCAGTATCTCCATTATTTATCTATATATCCTGTTGTTCGCAAAATATAAAAACAATGGTGTCGCAAAAAATGCAGTAATGCAATAGTGCAATAATATTATTTATTTATATTTTATAATTATAATTTGATTTATTTATTTACATTTTAAACGACTATGGCAGATTTTATTATTCATTTGTTTTCTATTTTACATCAAATTAATAAGTATATAAATGATGTATAGTATACCCATAATTCGAAAAATAGTGATAATTGATAATGCATTTTCAGCATTTGAACGTTAGTTTCATTATTCGATATATAACAGCCGGCGGACGTTGCGGAAAACTTCCGGTACTGGTGCTCGGTTGTGGCTGAATGCGCCTTACGACAAACGCAGCCGAATGCTTACGTCAGTATATTAATGACGTCATCGATTTTTTAGCCGATTTTCATACGCTCAAGAAGATTAAGGTAAAATTTTGGAAAGTGCAAAAAGAAAATTTCATGTAAACTATATTTATAAAATGGCAGAACTTTAAGAGCAGTCAAACCCAAAACGGTTTGAGTGAAGATACCTTGTCTTAAAGGGAGCCGTTTCGCAATATATGGCTATGGAAATGTCACGCGGAAATTTTAGAGATAACAAGGGCTGTATAATGCCCCTTCATCTCTACAGTGGGGCTAAGCTACTTTCCGATACAAGGCCCAATCTCCATACATAACTATTACTTTGATTTTCTGCTTCCTCTTTCTTTTTGGTCATCTTCCTACCCAAAAGAATTTACTGAGTGCGTTGGTCATAAGCTATGAACTGACGCTGCAGGAGCAATATTCTTTTCAATGTATGACAACTTACTCAACAAGTCGTCGGCACTGCACGACTTTTGCGACGAATTTGGCGAGAGTGATCAAATGGCGGTATTACGTTCGTTGTGTCGCCCTAAACGATTCTCGCTTCCGGTACAAATTTAACAATTTGCGTGTTGCAACCGACCGCAAACGACAACGGCCTATGTCCTTTTAGTTCATATTTCCCATACGAAGGCTTTTAATATTAGTTGTTTGGCTAAGTTCACATCGCCAAAGATAGCGGCCGCCTCAACACCTAATGCTTCTTAACACTTAATGCCTCTTGTGGCTCAACCGATTTCGTATTTGCATTAGTATTAAAAAGCCCGCAGTCGAAACCCACTTTGTGAAATGTTTTGCAACCGTTTGACATTCTCTTCTATTCGTTTGTGGATGTATTTCCATTCAGTTTGTTTGCAGTACTGGCACTTTCTCAACTATGTGTGTCACACCAACTGGTATCTGAGTGAATATTACCCGAGTCTTCCTCGCCGCTCTCATTTCGATCTTCTTCCTCTACCATTGAGCAGTAACATTTATCGTCCGCTTTACAGGAAATATAAGAGCTGCGTTTGTTGTTATTATTCTTAAGTTTATTTTCTTTCCGAATTCTTAGAATGCTTTCGATCGATTTTTCTTCGCAAATAATTATTGATTTGTTTTGCACGTAGACTGCAATAACATCGGTCACCAGACGTACAAGTGCAAGCTTCCGAGTCATAGCTGCATTAGGAACATGATACGTATCCGTGATTGTTACAATTACATAAGATTATAATTTTTTTTCATAATGTTGAAGTAAACTTGTGCCTGGCTTTGCTTACCTCTACTTACCCACTTCCACTGTTTCTATTCATCCCGAGAAAGACGTTTTCTTGCGGAACACCTGAAACAGTTGAACCACTCGTAGTCGGTCAATTTCGCTGGTGTTGTTGCGATTGATGTAATTGATGATGCCGGGGATGAATATTCCGCCGGGATGTAAGTGTTGGCGATTGTATAATAGTAATTGCCGGTGGTTCGAATTTACGGTGGTTGGCCGGCTCCTTGTTGCACGGTGGTTCAACGACTTTCCACGGCAAGAGCGAAACTGGCCCAACTGAAAAACCTTTTTTAAATTTTGGGTACCAAAGATTGCTGTTTTCACCGTTTTCTACAACGGAGTCAAATCAGGTGATTAAAGAGCTTCAGAGAGGTAGGTTTGTGGACATTGGTGACAATAACACTAACCTATGAACCGTTCGAGCTTGTTTTTGTTTTTTTTTTCTCTGACGGCGCAGAATATTTTTGATCCTTGAAACAGTTCATACTTTGTCAAGGTAATTGCCAATTTCAGCAGAAACTCCTTATATATCGGGTTTAAATCGTTGAATGATATGCCATCAGCATCAATTATGGCAAAGAGGATCTCATTCAATGAATGCAGGTTTTCATGCAAGCGGAACTTGTTGAGAAGTTCACTGAAACCAAGTGGAGAACTACAAAAATAATTCAAAGCAAACAGCTCAATGTTTTCACCATAGAAAAAGTCAGGTGAAATGCTTTCCGGAGTATAGTAAAAGCCTTGCAGGACTTTCAAGAATTAAACGCTTCGAGCCCTGTATATATGGTTTGTGAAGCATTACCTGTTATTTTCCGCAATATGGCGGAAAATTTACTTGGTTTAATTGTAGCTATTTTGCCTATGAATTGTATACCGAAAACTCTGTTAGATTCTTATTCAAAAATCTTAGTCTATTGTTTACAACACACCAATTTAGAATACCACCTACTTTACGACGTATGCATATATGGGCGAAGTTTTTCTTGACAAGTAATACTTACGTCGTCAGTTGATTTTCGAATTTTTTCAAACTTTGAAATTCAAAATCATTGTTCCGGGTCATAATTTACTAATGATAATTGATTTTGAGCCAACTCAGTACCAAAGGATAGTTCAAGCTGTCTGCTGCGTTTGATATAAGTACATTGCTGATCGAAGATGAAAGCCATTTGGGTGACGTACAAATAAATTTGTAGGAAAACAAAAAGTCGGTAAAGTAGAAGTTGAAAAGTGTGCTGTCTTCCTGAATTTTACAGACTATCTTTGGTTGATCATGTACTGAATTAGTAAGTAGCATTCAGGCTTGTTAAAACGACGATGTTTGTCCAAAGAAATGTTGACGGTGCTTTCTTTTTCATAAGTATCACATAGGTGTGAGTTTACTGTTGTTCTCCATAAGACATAATAAACCCAAAGATATTCCCTATGAACAATAATCTGGACCGTATAGTCATCTCTCAATAAGCTCATACCATCAGCATCTCTTTAGTCTTACTATAAGTTTAAGGTTTAACTGTGCAAAAATCATTATTATTAAATAAACACTGTGCAACCCATCACAGTTGGTCGTCAAATTGCTCCAGCTTCAATAGGCAGAGAAACGAATTTAGTTATATATCCTTCTTATCTTCTTCATCAGACGTAGGAGATGTAATGCTGCTAATATCTCGTGCTGGTGGATGCATCAGTACGTGATCAATAAGACCCATATCTTTAGCCTCGTCAGGGCTCATGTAACTGTCTTTTTGCGTATGCTCGTGGAGACTTTCGTAGGATTGCATTGTGTGTTTCACATAGATACTAGTTAGTTCTTCTTAAATGAGAATAAATGGTGGAAAAAAACAACATAAATTGGGGAAAACGTAATAAATTATGTTATATGAGAATAAATGGTGAAAAAAACAGAATAAATTGGTATACCTGATGTACCGCCAGCTTACTACTTGATATTTTTGCTGAGAAATTTTGAAAATTGTAATTTTTTTCCGTATAATGACTTTTCAGTATAGAGCGTTATACGGGAAAAAGTGAAACAATCCGACCCATTTTCAACAGCGTTCGTCCTTGGGTTAAAACATCTTACTGGATCAAATGTCATTGAAATATCGCAAAAATTGCGATCTGTAGCTTGAACATAAATTTACATGAATAGACATACGACAGACAGGCGGACAGACAGACTTAGATCAATTCAGATTACGATCGGTGTAACAAGAGGTGGGTCTATCTTAAGTCTTTCTGAGTGTTACATACGCCTGCACTAACTTACCGTACCCTGTACAAGTGATGTAGGGTATAAAAACAATTTACTTACACATTTTCAGGTAACGTAGGTGGATTGGGAGCATCTCACGGATCTCTCTTCCGTTTCACAGCAATCTTTCTCCGTGAATTTCGATCATCTTGGTGCGTCTGATTGGTCTGCTGCCTAAAGTTTATATATAAGATCAACATTACTTGATTATTAATTTTATCTACAATATTAAACCTACTTTTTGTTTGCTAAAAAAATGGATGATATTTGTTGACGATGAGACCAACATATTCAATGCAGTCTTGAGCTTTTGCAAGTGTTCATTCTTTACGTTTTACAACTGATGGCGTCAATATATGACGGTGCATAGAAAAGATTGATGGTACAGTATTGTTTATAGCTGTGGTTTCACGTACGTTTAAAGAATTTAAAATTTTTGCGTTTTGGTTCAGTTGAAAACCACTTAGTCTGGAATTCAAGATGTTTGCAGTTATTTTCTCCTATAAATGCAATCTAATCAACCCATACTAACTTAGAATAACCAACTAACGCGAAACGTGCGAAAATGTAGCCAGCCTAAAACGTAAGCTAACTTTCAGGTACGTGATTATTCCCTTGATTACGAACTTTCACAAAGTAGCGTAAAAAGTCCCATCCAGAAAAATGCAATTAGGTTTTATTGTGTTTCATACTAATAGGCAGCAAGCACAATAAACCTTCGCTTATACTCCTACGATAGGGGAAACGTTTACAAATTTTTCATAAAACGTGCGATAAATTGCTTTATAATGATTTTATAACTGTTTATATGTATTCTTTACATATTTATATAAATGGATTTGTAAAATTCATAAAACTTATAAAATGAATGTCTCCCACAGACGTGGGAATATAAGTAAAGCTTCATTATCTCAGCCCGCAAGATAATAACTTTGCAGCTTTGCATGCGCGAATGAAGTTGCAAAAATCTCAATTTGAATTAGGGAAAAATTAAGTCATTTCGGATTCTATGTTTAGTTATATTATGGAACATTTATAGTCTAAATGAGCTGTGCGAAATATTTAAAATAAAGAAGGAATTGAAATTTTCTAAATTTGTCAAATAAAGCAAAAATTTATTTTTGACCAAATTAATTAAGCCCATTAAAAGACTTAATGTCAACTAAACCGAACTTTTCCTTAACCTTAATAAATCCTTCGATTCACACGCCTTTACACTAAGGACGGAATGACACTAATTATTTTATAGCATGGACGTAAGTTGCCAAAGTTTGGCATGCAAATTATTAATTATGGCTCCCGCAGACCAACCTTAGTGAATAAAGTTTTCTTATTTATCTACACTTGATCGAAAATTCGTTCCTTATGGAGGCTGGGTCTAATCTTAAAACTACTGGTAGGGAGAAATGGATAAACGGCTACGTGTGGTGTTATTAATCTCTTTACCGCGTCATTGTTTAGATGCAGGTACATTGATAAGAAAGACGCTCTAGAATATAACACTGTACTCAACGTTTTGTCAACGTATAAAACAGTTTAATTAACCTAAAATTTTGAATAATAATTGCCACTCCAATACACTCTTCCTTTAACTTCCAATATACTTCATTTTTAGCATAATAATCATAATTCATACAAGTCTGGCTAATAGCGGATAGTAGAAGCTATTTTAATCATACTTCATACAAGTCTGGTTAATAGTTACTAGAATCTATTAGTGTGGCGTTTGTTTCTGTAAATGTTTGAGGAGTTTTTGACTCTTAAAAAATTCGGCATAAGGGAGTCGAGATCTTTATAATTTTATATATTGGTGTTTAATCAGAAAATGCAGCAAACATATATATGTATACATTTTTTCTCGGACGCGCCCGCAAGGGCTGTCACGAAAAATACGCCCTTATATGGCAGAAAGAAATATTTTAAAGAATTATGATGAAAATTGGTTCATACTAGTACTTTGGATTACATAAGTCTCCGTTGTAGACCCCGTCTCCCATTGAAAAGTAAGTCTTCCTATGGCAACAAAATCTAATTGGTAGCATATCACGGCGACAGTGAGTGAAATCTTTAAAGAGTGAACACAATTCATGTTGTATCAATGTGAACGCTGGTCATATGACTACCGCAGACCAACCCAAGTGGATGTGTTTTCTGAGAGATCGTTTAACGCTCTACAAAAACTCTAATTAAAATAAACTTTTCTCCTCCTTCCTTACTGTTCCTTGCAAAGGAAATTTATCACCGAACCTATTTTTACATTTAATAAAGTCTTTAAAAATATTGTAAGAATTTAAAATTGAAAGCTACCACTTTCCACCATTCTGAATGAATGATTCAGCGTGATCTATGCCTTTATAATTGTGAGACAACGGAAAATGTTCAGATGAATCACCTCTATTCGTTCGAGGTTTAAAGCGTTTCACATTTGCGTAGAAACTGTGATCCTATAGTGGAAAACTTTGCAAAGCGAATTTTGAAAATCTTGATAAATCGTTTTACAAAAATGGCATTGAAAGGGCAAAGAAACATTGGGACGGTTGTACCAGTTTTGAAGAAGACTATGTTGATGAATAAAGTCGAATATTGTAGGAAAAAAAATTCCTTATTTCAAAGCAAACGTCACAGTAAAAATATACGACTGTTAGTCCGGGGAAAGTACCCACGCTATTTTGTGCATGCATATATATGAATATATGCCTATATATTGAGTATATATTTCTATGCTTAACTATAGCAAATGATTATGATTAAGATTTCATACTTGGTTTGGTAATATCTACCAAATCCGCAAGAACAACAAACGTTTTTCATATATTCTAATGATTTTTCCTTTACTTTCCTAATCAAGTAAGTCATGCTTTAAAGCATTATGTGTCTGTGTGATTTATTGCATTTGTTAAAATGTAAACAAATCGGTAAAAGCATATATACTTAACTCCGTGCTAACCGTGGGATCGATCTTAGAATCATGAAGTAGCCGTTATATGCTACTGGAGGTAATGAAAATATTTGGCCATATTTTGCATAAATATTGTCTTGTATTCATTTACGTAATATTTAAACAAACGCAAGCATAAGTAGTACGATTACAGAAAAACAATTAACACATATACGTAAAATACAGAAATTGTATCTTGATTTTGGCAAAAATATCTTTAGTTCAATTAAGTAAAAAGTGAAATTTTGCTTGAATTGGTTTTCGTTTCAGTAATCTTCTATATGCCACTTTGTCTTTTCTTCAAAAATTTTTTGTTTTTTCACGCTTGCAGTTGTACTTATGTGTTTGCTTATCAATTTACTTAAGTATGTATTTAAGCAGCAGTAGTACAAATAACTTCCTCCCGGTTTTTCATAAATTTACAAGTAGTTTGTTTTAAAAGAAAGAAGAAAGGATGGCTGTTTTGTAGAGATTGACGATAGCTCTACAAAACCGTGTTTTAAATTAAAAAAAAAATATTCCAAAAACTTTAAGAAACATCTAAAACATCAAAAGGCGGAACTGACAACATTTAGTTTATAAGATTTAGTGTGTAGTTCTAGTTATTGTTAATCTGAAATTTACATTTAATTTTTTTTATAATTTTGAATTATTATTAATTTGAAATGTAAAATATGTAATATATTTTCGTAAATAAATTGAAATAAAAAAAAACGTTGTTGTTTCAATAATATTTAATTTGACAATTATCTACTTTTATTTTTTTGGCCTATTTTGTATTCCATTTATTTTCAGGTTCGTGAATTATTATTTATTATGTCGTAATATTTTGTATTATCATTATATTACATTACTATTATAATATTATTTATATATATTAAATATATTAAGAGTAATACCATGGTAAAAATTTCGGACAGAGTATTTAGTCAATTTTTTAAAGAATATTCAGACTTGTGAACTAGTAGTGGGCGTAGGCTATGCAGAGTACTGCGCAGAAGGTTAGCCGATCGACTGACGGTGGAAACTGGTGAGTTAGTGACTGAGTAAGATTTTGCAAAAAAAATTTATGCAATTAGGTGTCGTTTGAGAAGAGTGGATAGAGGAGGAGGTGATCGGACAGCAATGGTAGACTACATTTGGTACGAGCGAAAATCGTGGTTGGCGCGGGAGATAATGACAATGACGGGGCACATATGAAGATGTACAGATTGAGGCTGACAGCGAGGAAAAAGTAAATGTGGTCACTGACAACGAGGATGAGGTAGGTTTTTTGGGAGTTGACTTAGAAGAAAAACTGGTGACACCAGCGGGAGAGGGGGTAGCAGTGGAAGAAGAAGCGACAGACGTGCAAGGTATAATAGAGGTGTCAGAAGAACTGACTAGGATGCCACGTGTAGAAGATAGCGTAGATGTACAAAGCCTCGCTAATTTAGCGGACGAAATTTACATCAGTGGACCATCGACATCGCCGCAGGCGAGGCTGATCCGGAAGGTTGGGCGGCTTCAAGTTGGAAACGAAGAGTTAAAACGGCGCCTCGCCAGAAATTAATGCCAGGAAGATAAACCAGCAGCTATAGTGCCGGAAATTGAGACACTCAAAGAAGTTGTGGGGAAATTGACTGCTCACGACAGAATTGTATAAATGTATATATTCTTCATTTGCTTTTATTTGATTTTGCATTTAAAAATAAGTATATGTACTATCGCTTCAGCATAATGCGATACTTCCGTAGACCAAATCGTAAATTGTGGTCACCTTTATATATAAAATCAGTAACCACAAGAGTTTGCTTCTGCAGATATCTACAGATATCAACACACCGGCACAGCAGCGATCCTTATGTGTTTATATGTATTATTTATGTATTATCTATGTATATTATGTATAAACCGCGCTTATATTTATTTATTATTATTGTAAATATTGTTAAAGTTTCAAGTTAAGTTAAAGAATGGTGTAGGCCTACAGGGGAGGCAGCCATTTAAAACAATTAGCAGCGCGCCTATCACAGTATTTCAAAGGTGGTGTGGAAAACCGTGCTAAGCGACCGTAAACAAAATTCCTATACTACACGAAATGTTTTCATGTTTAAGTCTACTTAATTTTGACATGTCTAAGAATGTTTAACAATGTTTAAGAATGTTTAATAATGTTTAAAAGGGATTTGTTATCGGGATACAAAAGCAAACAGAAAATGTTGCGAAAATTTATATAAATATTTATTGTTTAGGCGATAAAGAAGTCGAAGATTGTTGTTGGAGCTTTGACGGAAATTTTCCAAGAAATGCTAGAAAGAAACCACGAGATGAATTATCAATTTTTTAAGCTAAACCCTACAGTGGCTTATGGCTATCACTGTACTCTGCTGCGCCTAAAGCTGATTTTGAAGTCATGTTTAGTTCGTTGTTTTGATTGTACGGCTCATGTCGATGGTCCATCATAATCAACTATATTATTAAATACTGAATCGTATAATGTAATGGCGGGGCTCCCTATATTAGTCTTACTAGACA